ACAAACACACACACACAGTCGACAAACACACAGTCAACAAACACACACACAGTCGACAAACACACAGTCGACAAACACAGTTAACAAACACACACACACAGTCGACAAACACACACACACACACACACAGTTGACAAACACACACACACAGACACACACACACAGTCGAAAAACAAGCAGTCAACAAACACACACACACACAGTCGACAAACACACAGTCGACAAACACACAGTCAACAAACACACACAAACACAAACACAGTCGACAAACACACAGTCGACAAACACACACATACAGTCGAAAAACACAAACACAGTCGACAAACACACACACAGTCGACAAACACACCGTCAACAAACACACACACACACACACACACAGTCGACAAACACACAAACACACACACACAGTCGACAAACACACACATACAGTCGAAAAACACAAACACAGTCGACAAACACACACACACAGTCGACAAACACACAGTCGACAAACACAGTCAACAAACACACCGTCAACAAACACACACACACACACACACACACACAGTCGACAAACACACAAACACACACACACACAGTCGACAAACACACACACACACAGTTGACAAACACACACACACACACACACACACAGTTGACAAACACACAGACACACACACAACAACACAAACTGAGGGGAAAATACCAAGACGGCTGTTGATTAGTGTTCGCAATCTCGAGGACTCGTTCCTCAACACTCGGCGTCCAGCTTCACTGCAGTTAAACTTCATTCATGTCTCAAATCAACTCATTATCAACCAGCAAGTTTCACGATACAAACAACAAACACACTCTGACAGTCACTCATAAAACAAACAATTTCCACTCTTGTATAGATGGTGAAATTGAAAGACTAACACTCGAGTTTCGGGTGTTCATCTCGTTGTTGTGACAGTATTTGATGTTTAGCACAGAATATATTTCAATTCGGTATTACTGTAGAAGTGCTCAGTTTCTATTATGTTCGGTTTTACCTGAAGTTCAACAGTTTTGAAAAGAGTCTGTAAACGTGTAAACTGGCCTGAAGGTTCACAGTTGAGTTCTGTGTGAGAAAAGAGTTAATTTCATTCCAGAAGAAGTCTCTATTGAGTGCAATAATGATCCACACACACACACACACACACACACTCACACACACTGATGTTTAGATCAGTGTGTGAAGAGATGTGAGAAACGGGTCCTAGAGATCATAGAAACGCTACACACAGCGCTACACACAGCGAACACACAGCGAACACACAGCGCTACACACAGCGCTACACACAGCGAACACACAGCGAACACACAGCGCTACACACAGCGAACACACAGCGCTACACACAGCGAACACACAGCGCTACACACAGCGAACACACAGCGCTACACACAGCGAACACACAGCGCTACATACAGCCCTACACACAGCGAACACACAGCGCTACACACAACGCTACACACAGCGAACACACAGCGCTACACACAGCGAACACACAGCGCTACACACAGCGAACACACAGCGCTACACACAATGCTACACACAGCGAACACACAGCGCTACACACAGCGAACACAGCGAACACACAACGCTACACACAGCGCTACACACAGCGAACACACAGCGCTACACACAGCGAACACACAGCGCTACACACAGCGCTACACACAGCGAACACACAGCGCTACACACAGCGCTACACACAGCGCTACACAAAGCGAACACACAGCGCTACACACAGCAAACACACAGCGAACACACAGCGCTACACAGCGAACACACAGCACTACACACAGAGAACACACAGCGCTACACACAGCGCTACACAGCGAACACACAGCACTACACACAGAGAACACACAGCGCTACACACAGCGCTACACAGCGAACACACAGCGCTACACACAGCGCTACACACAGCGCTTCACACAGCGCTTCACACAGCGCTACACACAGCGAACACAGCGCTACACAGCGAACACACAGCACTACACACAGTGCTACACACAGCGCTACACACAGCGCTACACACAGCGAACACACAGCGAACACACACACAGCGGTACACACAGCGCTACACACAGCGCTACACACAGCGCTACACACAGCGCTACACAAAGCGAACACACAGCGCTACACACAGCGAACACACAGCGAACACACAGCGCTACACAGCGAACACACAGCACTACACACAGCGAACACACAGCGCTACACACAGCGCTACACAGCGAACACACAGCGCTACACACAGCGCTACACACAGCGCTACACACAGTGAACACACAGCGAACACACAGCGAACACACAGCGAACACACAGCACTACACACAGAGAACACACAGCGCTACACACAGCGCTACACAGCGAACACACAGCGCTACACACAGCGCTACACACAGCGCTTCACACAGCGCTACACACAGCGAACACACAGCGCTTCACACAGCGCTACACAGCGAACACACAGCGCTACACACAGTGCTACACACAGCGCTACACACAGCGCTACACACAGCGAACACACAGCGAACACACACACAGCGGTACACACAGCGCTACACACAGCGCTACACACAGCGCTACACAAAGCGAACACACAGCGCTACACACAGCGAACACACAGCGAACACACAGCGCTACACAGCGAACACACAGCACTACACACAGCGAACACACAGCGCTACACACAGCGCTACACAGCGAACACACAGCGCTACACACAGCGCTACACACAGCGCTTCACACAGCGCTTCACACAGCGCTACACACAGCGAACACACAGCGCTACACACAGTGCTACACACAGCGCTACACACAGCGCTACACACAGCGCTACACACAGCGAACACACAGCGAACACACACACAGCGGTACACAGCGCTACACACAGCGCTACACACAGCGAACACACAGCGAACACACAGCGAACACACAGCGCTACACAGCGCTACACACAGCGCTACACACAGCGCTACACACAGCGAACACACAGCGCTACACACAGCGCTACACACAGTGAACACACAGCGCTACACACAGCGCTACACACAGTGAACACACAGCGAACACACAGTGGTACACACAGCGCTACACACAGCGAACACACAGCGAACACACAGCGCTACACACAGCGCTACACACAGCGCTACACACAGCGCTACACACAGCGAACACACAGCGAACACACAGCGAACACACAGCGCTACACACAGCGCTACACACAATGCTACACACAGCGAACACACAGCGCTACACACAGCGAACACACAGCGCTACACACAGCGAACACACAGCGCTACACACAGCGAACACACAGCGCTACACACAGCGAACACACAGCGCTACACACAGCGAACACACAGCGCTACACACAGCGAACACAGTGAACACACAGCGAACACACAGCGAACACACAGCGAACACACAGTGCTACACACAGCGCTACACACAGCGATACACACAGCGAACACACAGCGCTACACAGCGAACACACAGCGCTACACAGCGCTACACACAGTGCTACACACAGCGCTACACACAGCGAACACACAGCGGTACACACAGCGCTACACACAGCGCTACACACAGCGCTACACACAGCGAACACACAGCGAACACACAGCGAACACACAGCGCTACACACAGCGCTACACACAGCGAACACAGCGAACACACAGCGCTACACACAGCGAACACACAGCGAACACACAGCGCTACACACAGCGCTACACACAGCGAACACACAGCGAACACACAGCGCTACACACAGCGCTACACACAGCGCTACACACAGTGAACACACAGCGCTACACACAGCGCTACACACAGCGCTACACACAGTGAACACACAGCGCTACACACAGCGAACACACAGTGGTACACACAGCGCTACACACAGCGCTACACACAGCGAACACACAGCGAACACACAGCGCTACACACAGCGAACACACAGCGAACACACAGCGAACACACAGCGCTACACACAGCGCTACACACAATGCTACACACAGCGAACACACAGCGCTACACACAGCGAACACAGCGAACACACAGCGAACACACAGCGAACACACAGCGAACACAGCGAACACACAGCGAACACACAGCGCTACACACAGCGCTACACACAGCGAACACAGCGCTACACACAACACTACACACAGCGCTACACACAGCGAACACACAGCGAACACACATCGCTACACACAGCGAACACAGTGAACACACAGCGAACACACAGCGAACACACAGCGCTACACACAGCGCTACACACAGCGAACACACAGCGAACACACAGCGCTACACACAGCGAACACAGCGAACACACAGCGCTACACACAGCGAACACAGAGCGCTACACACAGCGAACACACAGCGCTACACACAGTGAACACACAGCGCTACACACAGTGAACACACAGCGAACACACAGCGCTACACACAGCGAACACACAGCGCTACACACAGCGAACACACAGCGCTACACACTGCACCTTTAAGACACACCATGTGTAAGTTCATAAGTCGACAGCATTGCTGAGTATTTCCTCCTTAAAACTGCAGTGAACCAAAGACAGTCTCAAAAACACGGTGTGAAATCGCTGGTGTTTCTGACGTCACAAACGACCTTGTAACCAATCAGATCAACGTGTGATCGTCAACCAGTGGATCTCTGAGCTGAGTGAGTGAGTGGAGGCAGGGCTCATTCGCATATTCATAGAACCGCACATACTAAATGAGGCGAGGGTGTCGAGTTACATTCAAGATTTTTTTTAAGGCATGACGAAGGAAAACACGTTTAAATATGTCATTTTGGTGATCAAAGATGAGTGTTAAGGGATAGAGTTATTGACTACGGGGACTTTAAATGACATGTGGATTAAAACCGATGATCAAACATCAAAAAAAGACAGACGACAGGTGTTTATACGGGAAAAACACCCCAAACAAAGCTAAAGATGTGCATGTGTGCTCTTACTCTGAGTTCCAGGCTCTCGGGATCTTCCTCGTTCCCCTCGTCCAGATCACTGTCTTCATCCGGAGTCGAATCCCGTTTGCTTCCCGCGGGACACATGCTCTCGGTGTGTGTGTCGCTCCGGTCCTCCTCCTCCTCGATGCGGTCCTCGTTGTGGAAGCCCTCGCCCTCCGCCCCGCACGAGGGGCTGTCGATCCCGCTGTCCCGGTTCGGGATCTTCCCGTTGGATTCGGGATTCTGCACCGGCTCCGTTGCTTCGTGATTATCCTTCAATCCACCGCTGGAAAGTGTCTCATGCTCTGCTTGAAGTCCGTCTGCAATTTCGACGTCATTCACAGAGTCCGTCTGGAAGGAGTTTACGCTGGACAATCCCAAGAGCTCTGAGATTTCACTGGGTTTAAACACTAGTCCTTCCGCAGAGCCAAAATCCCCAGAATCCTGTGCGGCCGGAGGATCCATGCCGTTCCTTCGCTGGACACCCACAACCGGAAACCTTGAAAGATAAAGGGACAATAATAGTCTAGACCATGCAAAAGCAAAACATTTACCATCTTAAATGTTTTTAGGAAAAACAAACAATAGCCAATCAGAATCCACCCTGCTTTAACAAGCTCGAGTATTTAAAGTGACAGACGACAAAACTTCACATCGGAACGATAACACTTTATTTTACAGTGTTACATATGTTACATGTATTTAATATAGTAATAACAGTAAGTTATGCATAATTACACGCAACTAACCCTCAACCAAACCGTACAGTAAGTACATGTCATTAATTAATATTACTCAGTCCTTAAATGTATAATTTCACTGCGACACGGACACCTTCAAATAAAGTGCAACCCTATATTTTAAGCTGCTCGTTACAGTGTAATTCTACAAATAAGTAATATTAATAAACAACAGTGATTAATATATAATCAGGGTTAGGGTTTGGTTGAGGGTTAGTTGCTTGTTATATTGCATTCTTTACTGTTTTTCCTACAGTAAGTAGATGTAAGATGTGTAACAGGGACACTGTAAAATAAGTGTTATAGTTATTGTTCTTGATGTGAACTCCTGTTAGTCTCTGTTGGCTAATGCATTTACTGACATGAACTAAAAACGAGCATTTGTTATGGTATTTATTCATCTTTGTTAACGTTATTAATAAAAACTGTTCATTGTTAGCTCATGTCCTGTAAATAAAATTAACAGATACTTAATAACAGAACTTTTGAGATTAATAATGAATTAATAAATCTTGAAATTAACATTAACTCTGATCAATAAAAGCTTCAGTATGTTAGTTATAATACATTTAACTTATGTTAAGAAATATAACCTAACTGTAAAGTGTTACCCAGCAAAAAATGTATGTATTTTTTCAATTAAAATGCAAGTAGATTGACTGTGTAAATGAAAACGGAAATGTATTTATATACAAAAAAACGAGTAAAATGTACAAAAAAAGCCCTCAAATGCAAGATTAGGAGGCAAACATGGCTCTGCACAATCAAGATTAATTACGACAGTAGTGATTAAAGTGAAATGTGAATCATGTTCATGCTTATGTTGCATTAAAGATTACAAGTTTGTTTTCAGCGTTGTGTTTTAACCAATCAGTGCATGAGTGTATGAAGGCATCGACCAATCAGAGGCAAGTAGATTCAGAAGAAATCCACTGAAAACTTGTTTTTGTTCAGTGCGTGACTAACTCACAAAACGCCTTCGAGCGATAATCAACAATAATGAAGAGCGCTAATCAACAATGATGATTAGTCATAATAATATTGCAGCCCTACCCTGTAATGATTCCCTTTATAAAGGCATTTACACTGTCATGCGAGTTCATGCAAATCATGCTCTACAGTGTGTACAGATTATGCTTTTGTTAATAATATATTGGTAACAGTCTACAGTATTTGACAATAAACTGAAGTCAGCTTTATTTCTACACAGAAAGAGCAGAATCAATGATGAAAACATCAAATCTGATCTCTAACAGAACGATAGTGTTATTATTCAGACTACTTTAGTTCAGTGACTGTGTAAAGCTCATCGGTTATGAAACCAGTTTAGTTCAGCAACAGAAGACAATAGATTCGTCATCAGATCTATTCAGTTCAAAAAGCAGACATAAACTCAACCCAGGCACATAATGACCCTTAATGGGAAAGTTAAACACACGGTTTAATCTCTACATTTACTACACACTCTATATTAGGTGTGTGTGAGCTTACAGTGCTGATGCTGTAAAACACTGCGCACACGGCTCGGGTTAGAAGAACAGGTTTGCTGGTTTAATGGTGATATAAATTATACATGTAATCACACAAATGCATGTTTTTTTTGTTTGTTTTTTTGCATGTTTGATAAGTATTTTAATTAGAATTTTACATTTGACGTACATTTAGAGAATATATACAAATCAATGAATATTAAAATATCACCAGAAGTGAAATGCATGTATTTTTAAAATACAAGTACAATGTAAAAACATGCATGTGTGTGTGTGCATCAAATGATCACTTCACAATAAGGTTCATTAGTAACATTAATGATTAACTAACACGAACTAACATGAGCAATACATTTGCTCCAGTATTTATTAATGTTAGTTATGTTAGTTCACAGTGCATTAACTAATGTTAACTAATACAACCTTTGATTCTAATACCGTAAATGAATATGAGCTGAGAGTGATCTTGTACCTGGAGTTGCTGCGGATGATCCGGCCCACACTCGGCCCGGCACACGGGCCTCCGGGTCTCAGGGAGAGACGGGGAACGGGTCGCAGGTGCACAGGTTTAGGGGGCGCTGAGAGACACACACACACAGAACACACTCAGACACACGCGATCACACTCCTCCATTCCCATCGCTCTGAATCCAGGAGAGTCGCATGCAAACAAGCAATCGAAAACCAGCTGAGCGTAAAAAAGAAAGATGGAAAGCCTTCAGCGGTCCGAGAAACTGTCAGCTTCCTGAAGCGAGAACAGGAAGTGGAGATGAGCATGCGAAAAGTGCTGCGGTTACACTGCGAGATACACACACACACACACACAGATGATGATGATGAAGTGTGTGCGTGCATGAGCGCATAAACTGCTTCAAATGAGAATTAAAGTCAGTGTTTGTAGACGAGTTGTGTGTGTATGTTAGAGCTGAGTGAAATATAATGTTAATGATGCAACTTATAAAGCCGAGCTGAATTCAGGAAGCAGAGAGTGAGTTGTCTGCACTTCCTTCCTCTGTCTGTTTTGCACTATATGTGAAAGCCACAAAAATAGTTCACACACGTTGCAAACACACATTTATGCTAAAAAAAAAAAAAAAAAAAAAAAAAAAATACAGCGATGGGATGAATAAAATCATTGAGTCGTTGCAGGACTGCTGGAGTGAACGACTGGAAAACGTGTGTAATACCGTGTGGTTTCTGTGCTCTGGGCTTCAGGGGCGTGGCTACGGGAAGGGGGCGTGGCCTCTCGGTGAGATGGGCGGGGCATGGCCTGAAAGGGGGCGGAGTCTTCTTCTTCTGAGGCTGCTCTACAGATCCACAGGAGTACGAATCTACAGAGAAACACAGCATTAGTGTGTATGATGAGACGGAGATGACCAGAACTGGACGAAGAAATTACGATTTGAATTGATCTTTTAGTCTATACTGTTTTCAGTTGATGAATGAACAAAACTTTGTAGCTCCTCCCGTCCAATAAATAGAAATAAGCTTTGCACGCTGTTACTTCTGATATGAAACAGTCTCAGCTTTCAGATTGAGTCCATAAATGTGTGTGTGTGTGTGTGTGACAGGTGAACCGATCATCTCTTCCTCTTCACTACTAGTTACAGCAGCAAAGAAACATGATGAACATCAGAAGGAATGATGAAAGATACGATAATCAGTCATGTCTCATATAATCCATCAATCTGTGTTTCAACCGCCAATAAAACAGCGGGAGAACAACAATAACATTTACATTTACCTCAGAAAATATATTTAATGACCATAAACATGATAAGTGAGCTAGAAAAATAACTATAACTATAGAGCGTTCTGATTACTATATTACATAATTATTATATTTTTCTTCAATATGTGTTTTTTGAATAAATCCTTCATGGTTTTACGACAGCCACCATTTAAATGCTTATATTAAAAAATGAGTATGTCATTCAAAAACATTATTATTTTAAAAACGTGTAATATAAATGTATATCCTAAAAATAAGTTAACTTTTAATATTCCCTGTATAGTTTCCAGCATTACATTAGCCTTTGGGTTAGCTTGGGTATATTTACATCTTTCTGAATGTTGATTAATGTATACTGTACGTTTTGAAAAAGATTAAATAAAATAAAAATCCTAAAATAAGGAAATTTTCCCTGTACTGTACCGGATAGGCTCCAATTATTTGATATAGAATTGAATAGAAACCAATCGCTAGCTTAAGAATCAAAACCATCAGCAGCTTCAAGTTTTCTGAAGCGGTGCGACTCCTTTCATAACTGATGAACTATAATGTGCTTCCGGTGTCAGTGTGTGTGTGTCACGAGGAGATTCCCAGATGCTTTAATGGTTCCACACTAGAGTTCGACTGTGAGTTGCATCCAGTTGTGTTTTAAAAGTCTTGAGGCTGTACTTTATAAAAACATGTGCATTTGAATATTGTCACAATTTTGATATTCTGTTCTCTTCCTGCGCTTTAGTTCCTGTTTCCTTGTTTCTATTGTCATCCTGTTAGTTTCCATAGATGCGCTTGTTTATGATCTCATCATGAATCACCATCGTCGTCCTTCTTTAGCCTCGTGTTACTTGTGTGTATTTAAACCTAATCTTCAGGGCGGGCGGGTGTTATAGTTCCTGGTGGTTATTAAATGCAAGTTAAGTTTTTCATTTTTCGGTGTCATCTTTGCTGTGGATTATCAGTACGTCACAAACATTTCCCCAACATTTACATTTGAACATTGACCTGTAACACGACTTTAGATCATTTTTACAAACTAAGGGATGAGTGTGT